AACATGAAGACAAGCAAACCAACCCGCCGTACCACTAACCATATGCCACCCAGAACAGTTAAAGCTTCGTATGACTGTATGACCGTATGACGCGTAACAGCCCCTCCAAGCACTTTACGCGACCAAGCTCATCCCACATTTCACCCCATACCGCTTGATTCTTAGCGGGTCCTTAACTCTGTCTGCCCATCTCGACATCAGCCGGGCGAGATCTTTGACTGCCGAGACCGAAGAAACCTCTGCCCGAGCCACCTCGTCGATCGTCGCGGACCCTTGCTTGAGCGGGCGGCGGCGGCTGAACCCTTACGGGCGCGACTCCACTTTCTTGCGGAGGGTAGTCCGATGTCTCACCTTGACGTACACCTCCAGATGACGCGTGCTCATGTGACTGGGCGTTGAAGCGATCAAACTCGGCTGGGTCGCTAGGGTCAACTTCCGGTACCGGCTGGTGGCTAGCGCGGAGATTCTTCTTGCCCTTCTTTCGTAGATGGTCCTCCAACGCCACCGCATTGCGCGTGTTGGCGAGAATGAGAGTGTCGGCAATGTCTCCGATGAAGGGAACCAATCCAGCGATCAAATCTATGATCACCATTATGTACATGCCAGCCAGTACGTTAACCGGAAGTCCTCCTTCGACCTGTTTGGCAGTTTCGACGACCATCAGCGCAAGCAGCGCATCTACGACATCACCGGCGCTGTCAAGGTGAAATCCGTTAGCTCGCGAAACAAAATCCCAGATTGAATAGGATCACTCACAAAGGGACGATGCCGATAAGGCTACCCCAACCTAACTTCATACCCATGAAACTACCAAAGCTCATGTCCAACCTGTACGCTCTCCTCTTCACCTTGGTCAAGACCATTGCATCGTGCTCCGAAAGGCCAGGGGGCAAGGCTTTGCGGACTTTCTTAAACTTTGTCTTGGAGGGTCTGCCGTCTAGTCTCGTCGCGGGAACTTGCTCGAAGTATGGATCCTTCAATTTGATATACTGTCAGTATCATCTGTGATTAAGCTCGCCTCCAGGCGCATTGCATTGTGTGGGTATTATTGTTAGAGGAGATATCACCTACTTTTACTCCAAATTGGTTCCCTGCCGTTTCCTTGAGGATCTTCTTCGCAATCATTGCCGCCATCTTGTCCAAGGATTATGATGGAATTGACTGCGTGGCAAAAGATGAATCAAGAGTAGAGTAATACGAAGGGATTTAAAGTAGGCTGAAAGGTAGTTGAATATGTAAGTAAGCGATCGTCGTGCGTTTGAGTCTAGGAAGGGTAAGTATTGATATTAAGATTAAGCGCTGGGCTCCTTCAGCTACCTTTAGATGCGGTACACTAGTAAAGAGGGACAATTGGGCTTACTATGAGTACAGCTTCCAGTCACAGTGCCTTCTGAAACATTAATAAAAGAAATACATACAAACGGGAAAGCTGCGAGAACAAAGGTAAAAAAAAAGGATTGAAGATTGTAAAGTTATATCTGTGAAACCTGCACTGACAACTAATGACATAAACACCTAGCAATTACAAGAATGATTGTACTCTTTTTCAAGTTTTCGCCTTGATCGATCATGCGTGTTGTGTGCCTCGGCGACTTTGCTCCTCAGCGAATAAGAAGCTGTTATACTCAATACCTAATAAACCAGATACATCTGTACATCGGCTCGGATTAACGTATATCACCGAGATATCGACCGAGAGGATTGGATGCCTCTTTTATTATACTACTACCTACCTATCAAGCTATGATGTGTCGATATCGAGGTATGCGAGCAATGCGAGGTAGCCAAGTTATGATGTCAATTGCGTCAAACTACGGACAAACTAACGCATTTAAGGTTAATGGGATCTACCGCGTTTCATCCACCGGCAGTGGGAAGATAAAGATGTGGCTAGTGTGGCAACTACTCAGCCATATCACTTGCGTAAATACCGATTTACCTAACAGCCCTTAGTTCACCAATTAATCTTTAACTATTCCCAATCCATCTTCGAGACAATTCCTGCAACACGCAAGTCTTGAGGCCTCCAGATATGGCATCTTCGTGCATTGGTATCAACGGGGGATCTTGAGAAATCTTTGCCCAAGTTCTATCAATCAACACTCATGAAGCCGACTTGGAGAGAGGAGAGAAGCCAACCGTGTGAAGTCTACCTCAAGCAAGGTAAAGTAATAATTCATGCCCAAGTCTATTATATTAGCTATTATATGATTTATATATCATGTATCTTCCCTTCTATTTTATTCCCAATGACCTCCTACGTTCTTGATTCGTGGCCGGAGTTGCGTTCAGTCGTTGGAGATACATACTGGATTTGCCAACATGTTCACCCTCTTCGAAAGCCTACCTAAGGAGTCCAATATTCCAGCCCAACCCTTACCCAGGGGTTAGCTGGTCTCACCTTAGACTTTAGTCCACCCATATGTTCCTCGATCCCTTGATACCAACATGGACGATGTAAGAATCAATATGCCGCCTATGACAATTGTTAATCCCAACCAAAGCTGTCCCCATACATATTTACCTCCGCTGGCATCGATGATGGCGCCCATGGTTGGAGGACCAGCTAGAGTAGCAAATCCGCAGAGGGCATACACCATTCCGATCCATGTTCCCATCTTTCTCACATCTTTGACGAAGCTACTTGCCGCACTCGAGAAGATGCCCTGAGCAGCCCCGTTCACGAATCCCATGACCACAGAAAAGGCGTACATATCTGCCCTCTTATGGACACCCATCCAACCAAACGCCATGACCCCTGAGGCGATGCAGTTGAGGCCGAACGTATTCACAGGGCCGACATAACGATCCGCGATGACACCGAATATGGGCCTCGCAGGTATAGTAACCGCATTCGTGATGAGGACAAAGTTGATCGATTCTATGTCGCTTAGTCCGATGCTCTCGCGGGCGAATGAGTTGATCTGGATAAGAAGACGATTAGTTCCTCGTTTCGCTTATAACTTATTACTACCAGGGATCTCACGTATAATAACATGGTAAATAGGGAGAAGTATATAAGAAACGAGCCGGCGGTGAACATGACGTATGGCCCGTTTCTGAAAGCAGTCCAGTCGACGATAGGCGCTGGGATTCTCAGCAGCTTTCGTGGCCTGAAGAGGGAGAATCCAATGACGGCCAAGAATATGCCTATGAACCCGCACATCCTCACCGCCCACCCAAAACCTAACCTTGGTATCAAGAACTGGACGGTGGCCGGGAACAGTATGGCACCTGTGCCCGACCCGCACCCGTTAAGGGCCATGGCGAGTGACCGCTTCTTTTTGAAGTAGGTGGCGACGTTGGCGGTGGCCGGCATGAACATCAACCCGCCGCCGATGCCGCTGCAGAACCCTTGAGCGAGAAGTATTTGCCAGTACGTCGTCGCCAGGCTCGTCATGAACATTCCGAACAAGGATATGACGGCTCCGACGGCGTATAAGACCCTAGGGTATCCGGCGTCCGAGAGTCGACCAGACACCATACCGATTACGAAACATAAAAAAATCTGAATCGAGCCTACCCAAGCCACCTGGGCGGCCGGCAAATTCATCGTCTGCTTGTAGTATAGCTGGAACACGGAGAACCCAGTCCCGTAACCCCAGGACAGCATATTCGCAATGTGAGCTGGGACTACCTGGGACCAGGCCAGGAGACCTCCGTCCGGTGGCTCATCGATGGGTATAGCTACCGAAGAAGAGTATGTCGGTGTGATTTCTTCCCCTATTAGGATCTCGGAAGGGGATGGGCTGTCCTTTTCGGCGAATTGCGAGGTCATACTTTCAACTCCTGACGAGGTGCATCGATATGGAAGGTAAGGAGAAGATGGAATTCAATCATCAAAATTTCGATGGCAATAAGAATACGGAAACACAGTTCACTACATCAGAAACCGAGGAAGAAAAACTTTAAGGGGCGCAAGGTTATATACATTCTTACAACTATCGACGGCATATAAACTCAAAAAGCTCGACCCAAAAAGATGAGAACAGATGAATCAGAACCTATTTACAGATGCTCCGACCTCGCAATTTTCTCTATCGTCGCTCATGCATTATACTTTATGGAAAATTAGAAAAAATTGCAGAAACTCCACTAAAAGTGTCATGGACGAGAAGATACGGTAGATGAAGAGGTGAGTAGGTGTGTAGCAGACGTCCGATTGCAATAGGAACCAGGACTCCCGAGGTCTCGATGTCAATTTAATTCGGGGACCGGAACGGGAACGGAGAACCGAACTGCCCCATCTGCAAAGATGCCCCCGTCTAAGCCTATCAAGAGACAGGTGTTTATTGAAGTTATTGATAATCAAAGTCGCAATGGGTCCCGTCGTATCTCTCGTGGGACGGATAATCGGAAACAATCAGGACCTAGGAAGCCATTTTGGATAAAGAAATCGAATCCGATTACGCGATTGCTCACATACTTGGGACTTGAATCATTGAGATGACGAGGACACCAAGCCGAAGTTACGATCTCTCGGTCCGACGCAATGTGACGATCCTAGTTGGATGCAAGTTTCGTCAAGTTGATCATTTGTCAAGTATCCATTCTCCGGTTGATCTGAAATCGACTTTGTAGGAAGTGTCAAAGTGTCTTGGTGTCGTCATATTGCCTCCAATAACTATATCTAGGTAACTTCGATAACTTGGATAACTATTCAATCTAAATAGCCTCATTAGCGTTAGGCTTTTCTATTTTTGGGGAGTTTTATGGCATTTAAGGTTCCAACCGTCTTCAATGCGTTCTACTTACGGAAGCTATCTTGTACATAATAAGAATAATGAGATGACAAGTGCCCCTGGGCGTCTGATATCGTAGCTGCGTAGACCGCTCCCAAGTTGAAAAGAGGCTAGCCCCGCTCTCAAGTTACATAGTGTATGCGTACTACGTTAGTAGGACTCAAGGGCGCTTAAATCCGACTGGTTCATCACTCACTGATGTGGAGTTTACTAGATGAAAAGGGTATACATACCACCATTACGGCAAACTTCTTCACAAGTCGCGTGGTCTAATGGTTATGATTTCTCGTTCACATTGATGTGTTCCCACTTCCAAAGTCCCGAGAAGGTTCCGTGTTCGATCCACGGCGTGACTATTTTTGCCGTTTAGAAGTTTGATTTTACTCTTCATATGATTCACTTTTTACCTTTTACTATTCCTCGATAGATCCTCTTTCTCCCTTTTTTTCTTATTCACTCAAGTCCAATATACTATGCTATACAAATCACATTATAAGGTTCGCCAAGTCCATTCCTCCTTTCGTTCGCACAAGAGTAAAAAGTGACATAGGTCTCACGTAAGAAATCCTCTCGAGGTACATACTTAGTGGATGACAATCGCATTCTTAATACTGCGATGTATTCTCGCTCTTCTCACTACCTTCCAACTTACGATTCGCAGGTGAAATCTAAACATATCCTAAGAGGTAGTACAGAACCCCCGACAAATACCAAATGGGTTCCCAGAAGATATCCAAGTCTATGGAATGCGTTGAAGTGGCACATGTCATTCCTCTTCTACTCACGCCATTTAATACCTTTTTTTTCGGCTTGTGGCAGAAGGCTGGAGAACGAAAGGGCATGTGATGTGGCAATCAATAGTATGTCACATTCGCATGCGGCCTCTACTTTGAGGATGGATAGATAGACGTTCGCCGGATTTAGGTATGAAGTCGAAGCAAGAGTGGAAAGTAGGTACTGAGTAAGGGGCTGCATGGTCCCGGGGGGTTTGTCAAGGGCGATGCAAGACCCTCGCGAGAACCAGCCTTGCATCACGCTTCCCCCGTCCTGGGCCACCACGCCGGGACCCTGACGTCTTGGCTGATATGCCGGCGACGGTTTCAGAATCCCGTCGGGCATTCGGTCGCTCCTCCTCCGGCCAGACCTGCAGCGACTGACCTATTCCTAGCTTCCCACCATCTCTACGTGTTCAGCTATATCTTTCTCGTTGGACCAAGAAAAATTAAGGGAAAATGCGGATGAATGATTATGATTATTACTATTATTATAGTCTACAACCCGGGGAGGGAGGGGGGGACCATTCGTTGGCGAAGGAAATGTGAATGGAATAGGATGCGGGTAGCTGCTGTACTACCTCTGTATCACTTCCCTGCACCTAGCCGGCGACAGTTGGGTGCCAGCTAATGACCGGCTGGGGATTTTCGGACTCGTACATCTCCTGTGTAATCAGATTGCGCAGGTAAGGTAGGTAAGGCAGATCAAAGATCGCCTGATTTTTACGCCGGCCAAGAAGCCTCTCGTATAAAATGTGCAAGAATATCATGCCTGTAGCGAAAAGGGGCTTTTTTTTTCTTTCTTCTTTCGAGATGTGGAATAGAGTTGATTATATTGGTATTTTTACGTACGGAGGATGGGAGTTTGAATCCCGTGGCGAGGGTATGTATTACTGGGTAGTCTGTCGCTCATCCTTGGTTCCGGTATGTTATTTGCGAGAGATAACAGATCTTGTAGTACGACGGCGCGAACTAGCCTCGCTAGTTACGACCAGGAAATTTGCTTCCATCTCACCGCCGGCCTCCTGTTGGGTTACTCTGCTTTTCCTCCTTGTCCCTCTCTTTCGTATGATGGAATTAAGGGGTTGGTGATAGGTCAGAAAGGCGCTTCGTTCAGGTTCTATTTGGTGTTCGGTCCCGGCGTGGGATGGGCCGTATCACCATCGCTATCTATCTAGCTAATGGATACGGTCATGATGGCCCTTCTTAGTTTGGGTATCGAGATTTGTGTAGCTACCATCGCATCATGTGCTTGAAGTTCTTCTTGACGTGATAAAGTGCTATTGAAGCCGAGGCGTTTTGGTTCGTGCTCCTAACTTCCTACTTGAGATAATGCGATATTTCTCATATTGCCAAGCGAGCTCCTATTTGTCTAGTGTGTATCCCAGAGAGTAGTTCGTAAATGTACCCTACTTATATGTATGTATGTCACCTCGAGAAAGCGAACGCACACTTCATTGATGCGTGATATATGATATCATGAAAGTGCTACTAGATATTGGCAAAACCATTGTAAGAGCAACACAGCTAGGTGGCACTATGCTAATTAAAGACGAAAAGGTAAGACTTTTTCAATATCCCGTGATGAGTGGTGATGTCCTCCGCTGCTGACTTCGTATAACGCCTTTTTTTTTCATGTAACACTACCTACTAGGTAGTTATGACAAATGCCACGACGCCCGCTTATGTAGAAGAAGGGAAAAAAAGAAAAACAGCATGGCAACAGCCGCTACTGCGGTGCGACCACATGTAATAAGTAGATCTCTCGTAAAATATTATCGATTCCCCGTCGGCTTGGGAGACGAGATATCAAGCATCCAATAGCGTCTCGTCGCTCTCCCAGTCTTCCCAAGTTGGCTTGTCGTAGCCATTAGGCCGCGTCGGCCTCACATGACCGATCTTAATTCCGTCCACCTGCAGTGGCTCTTTTGGCCATGTCACAACGCCGTCGAAAGCCTCGCTATACGCGCTCTGCATGACACGACTCGCAAATAGCGTCGGATGTAGGCACTTAACACTAGCTAGGGCTCGCTGGCTGACCTCGTCGACGGAGTCGTTATGACGCAGCTTGAAGAAGTAAGGATCGTGCTCGCGGCGGAGTCGGTCTTGCACGTCAGCCGGGTACGCGCCAAGGGACTGGAGGAATATGTTGTACTGCGACAGGCTGGTTCGGCATATCCAGCTGCCACCCTGCGTCGCTCTGCGATATATGCCGGACAGCGCTGCGATGGTACCGACGCATCCCGTACCGTAGTCAGACATGGGGAAAGGCGGTACGACCGGTTCGTTGAGCCCCATGAACCGACCCTGCTCCCATGCCACGCCCGTGACGCAGTCGGCGATTTGTTGCCAACCAGGACGGCCGGCCCATTCGGCGTCCTTCTCGATGCCTCCAAAGCAGTCTTCTGCTACGTAAACAATACCCTTGCCACGCTGTGCTGCCCTCGCTGCAAGATCCTCGGGTCGATAACCGAGGCCTGCGATGACGCCCGGCCTGTACCCATCGATGATGACATCTGCCGTCGCGAGGAGGGACTCGAAGACTTGGACGTCGTCTGCGTTCTTCAGGTGTAGGGATGCGGTGTGCTTCCCGGTGTTGACGTCCAATTGGAAGAACGGCACGTCCGGCAGGTGCGGCGACGTAATCTTCAACACGGATGCGCCATGCGCCGCCAGGGATCGGCCGATAGTTGGTCCTGCAATTACCCGACACAACTCGATAACACGAAGTCCCTGCAGGCACTGAGCTGGCCCATTTGCAGATTCCGCAAATGGGACAGGTGGCGTATCCATGCTCAGGGGCTTCACGGTAAATAGCGGAAGAGACGTCATCACTTGACCGTGGGCCGTCTTCTGATATTTCTCATTGGTGAGGACGGAGACGCCCGCCTGGCGATTTTCTCGATTCATCTTTTCCAACTCAGTCCCGGAAAATCGTTTGACTGCCTCCTCGATGGTGCCGATGCAGTCATGATAATCCGTCAGGCCGGGACGAAAAGGAGGGAGGCCAATCATCTCTAGGGTCTTGGTGGCCTCTAAGGATCCGTGTATGTGATAGTATTCTCCTCGGTTCCTAGTCTCGTATAGGCCTGCTGACAGGCGGCGGTATAGATTTGACTGCGCCTGATTTAGATCGGTGTCTTATTATCATCGTTAGCGCAAACGTTTCTAAATCTGTCTACCGTAGATATGGGGGGACGAACCCGGGATTCGTTCTTTGGTCTTGGGGTTGCACTTATCCAAGCCGTCGACGTTGGTGATATATGCAGACATTAAGAAGGATGTCACACGCTCTAGGCTGACTCTGATCTCCCCTTCGCGTCTCATCCCTCGAATATCCGCGAGAACGGCGGCGGCGCATCCCTCCATTGCCTTAAGCGCTGCTACTGCCTCTTGTTCGCGTAAGGGGCATGGAAGGCACACCGCATCCCCCGCATCCGAATTTATCGAGAATACGACTTCTTCGGCGTGCTTCAGGAGCTCTATTGGAAGCTCTGTCTTGGCAGACTTCCTGAGTTGTCTGAAGGCATCCTTTGCGCCCTCGCTTACTGAATGAGTTCCAGGTCCCACGCGGACGATAGGGACTGCTGGCTTTAGTTGTCGGATGGTCATGATAGCGGCAGCAGGGCAAGGCATACGGATAAAAAGTTGTTCGCACTGAGGGTGAAGAAAGGGACATCCGAGAGAATACGCCACACAGCGACATAGAGTACTTAAGGTAGGGGTTTCTAACAAATATGAACCACGAATAATAATACGTATATTATAGCATATTGTGATTCATCAGATTCGGGGCAACTCACCGAAACAGTCCGTCGGTGGTATCGTGACTCGGACATAAAAGTATAAGTGACGGGATCTTTCTGTTCCTTTTAGGCAGGGAACGGGAGGCAAGACCTGGCGGGTCAGACGACCTGAGAGGTTCATCCGGTAGCATTTCTACGTGTCGGCACTGGCATGAAGGGAAATATAGAAAAACATGCCACCGAGGTTATGGGTCATTACTATAGCCAATGTCCTCGAAGTCAAGGCATATGCCGGACTCTCTCTAGTGATGAACTAAGGATGAACAAGGCCAAGTCTATTAACACGTCAATCCTCGCAGTGCACCCGAGAATGCGGGAACAGTGCTTGTGGAATCTACGGGGTATAAGGACACCAATATCACCTCGAAGCTTTTGCCAGCGGTCAACTGAACCTGACGGACGATCAGCATCCAAGTCAAGATAAGAACGACAGGTGTTTGAGCGTAGACATCTCTAAGTCATATCCACATGAACGAATTAAGCGCCTAGTAATGAATAGCCGCGAGCTGCATTTGGAATACTCAATGCTACCAACATCAGATTGACGTCGGTAGATAAGGTATGTCCATTTTAAGTGCGGGCCAGCTCACGTCAAATAGGACGGGCTCGTGAGCTATAGGACGAGTGAGGTTGGAGAAGCTCTGATTCGAGGGGGTGCGTGCATATTGCGAGTACCGAATCGAGCTTCGACGAAGACCGTTTGAGACCATATGCAGTGACGGTAGAATGTCAGGCATATTAAGCAGTCTGATAAATTAGCCACAGGATTTTTATTTT